TTCTACCCTTTGGTGTAATCAATCTAGACCTAGTATGTATTTTTGGCATTGAAATCTCCTGCTATAATAAACTTACTGCCAAACCTTAGGAAAAAGTCATCAAATTGTTTTTCCGTTATGTTATGACGAGGGGGGCAGTATCTATATATCAGATATAGTAAGGCCACCCAAGTGGTCATCAATTATGTATTGCAGTATTATGAATGAACTCATCACTTTGCGATTCTAATTCATAGTACTTCATTCTGTTACGAATGAAAAGTGCTGTTCCACCTCGGGATTTTCCTTGTGGATGCTTAGTATCATAGAATTTGTACCCATTAATTTGAAAGTTATTAAATTGAGTAAGGTGTTTCAGATACAAGCAAAACGTCTATATGAGTGCGCTCTAGGAAAGTTTCTAGTTCGTTTTTATGCTGGGTTAGCCCCTTCGCTTTCCAAAAACAAATTTTCGAGATTATTCATGGTTTAGCTAAAATGACTTGAAGTAAAAGATTTTGATTTTTAATCAAATCTTGTACCATGCTCTGCATTGCCATCATTTGCTCCTGCTCAACTTTCATGAAGTTATTTATAGTAGCTTCTACACTGAAAATAGAATTTCGTAAACGTGCTACGAAAAACTTTCGTAGTCTTGGTTTTTGTACAATATACGAAACTTTCGTTCATAATACGAACACATTTTTCACAACGAAACAAGATTTTACGAACCATTCGTAAATATAACCAAAGGACTTTCGTTAAACCTTTTTTCAGTACAATTTACGAAATCTCACGTTTATTTTACGAAACACATTCGTAAATTACTGAACAAATCTCTGTACGAATAATTTTGTATATTGTACGAAGGCATTCGTAATATTATGGTATTATGGTATTAAAATTTACGAAATCTTCAATTCTGTATTCGTACAAATTTCTTAATACTTTCGTACATAGAACAAATGCAGAATTTTTTTTTTTTTTAATTCGTACAACAGACGAATATTTTCGTTCAATATACTAAATTACCGTCAGTTTAATATTTCATCATATTTTTATGTACCGCGTGTCATTGCGAAACTACTGTTTGGCTACTGTAAGACGTATAATATAATTTTAAAAGTTTTAAGAAGCTTTTGCTGGATAAAAATACAATATAAAATTAAATGTTAAGGCTGTGGATAATTGCTTTTAAGCATACAATGTTTTTAACATCGCCCACGCTGAGCCTTGCTCTGCAATGTGGGACTTCATAAATAGGCAATTTCATCAGTTAGCTATCAACGGCAAGCCCAAGCCAGGAGAAGACGCACTACTTAATGAAATTTTAAGTAAGTACACGTATGATTTTTGACTTGCCTTTCAGACGCCATATAATTTTCCTTTAATTTATAGTCGAGAAAGGAAACAAACATCGAAGAAGCTGCGAATCTGCCAAGTACCTCCACATAAAAACATTGCAAAACATTTTGTTAAAGAAAAACGCTTAAAACCAGGAATAAAAACAAAATAAAAGTGTTGTGTTAGAATTCGTCTTATGTTTTTTACAGTGTGGTGAATGAAAGCAATCGGAAGTTCTACGAAACAACCGCAGATTTTAGGAAACTAATTTCGTTAAATATACGAAGTTTTGTGCATTTTACAAAAATTTCGTAAAAAAATAAAGAAATAGTACGAAATTCTTTAGTAAGTAGTACGAAATTCGTTCGTAAATAGTACGAATACGTTCGTAAAATGTACTAAGATCTGATGTCTCATATTTTCGTAGTATGTACGAAAACGGTTTTGTACAATCAACGAAAACTTTCGAGGCTCAAAATGACGAAAACTTTCGTAAAATGTACGCAAGTTTTCGTTATATTTACGCAGATTTTCTTTTCAGTGTAGGTTACTACTATTCGGACCAAAAAGTGGTTGTGTTGGAGGAGTATTTTTCAGCATTTCTGAATAAGAAGTAAAATTATTAACAGTCAATGGCGCAGGCATTGGCTTAGCGATTTCTGGTATGGGGTTATGCCTAATAGGAATATTTTTGGGAATTGTTTTCTCTTTCATTGAGATATAAACTGGACAACCTCTGTAATTTGCAGTGTGATTTCTACCGCAGTCACTGCACTTTTTGGATTTCGGGTCCATTTTTGGATTCACACATTCTTTAGAAGTGTGTAAGTTCCCGCATATAACACAGACACCAGGTAAGGTGCAGTTGCAACGAGTTTGACCAAATTCCTGACAGTTATGACATTGAACATGGCGTCTACGCTTATGGGATTCTGCTACGGAGATTTTACGGTGTAGAAGATATCGCAATTGATATATTTGATGCACTTCCCCTTTCTCCAGGTTATGAAAGTCACGTTCTAGCTCTATTTTGAACATCGGCTCAGGGATGTTTTCTTTATTTTTGATGTTGAAAACATTGCGCACCTTAAAACCGTCTTCCCTAAGAGCATTTTCTATCACTTGTGAGTTTACGCTGGACTCGATGCCTTTTATGACAACTTCTAGTCCTCGACTACTTTTAAGTTGGTAGGCGTAGTAAGATTTCTTACACTCATCAAACTCGTTGGTAATTTTACGAAAGACATATTCGTTTTGAGCCTGAATTTTCACTTCGTGTATATTACCCTTTTTAATAGGACTTACATGAATATTATTTTTCCTTACCAGTTTCACGAGAGTAACTACCAGAGCATTAGAACTAGGGTTCAAAATTTCAGACTTTGGTATCAATACTGAGTACTCATTCTGGCATCGAGCTCATGGTGTCGATAGGTTAGGTTAGGTTGAAGTGGCTGTCAGTGACCCCACTAGCACACATAGACCCTTAGTTGTGGGCCCGTTGTGATACCACGATACTCAAACCATCGTGTATTTCGCGAAACCCAGAAGTTGCCGTACGCCTACTTCGGCTATGTCGGTTAGGTCCTCAAAGAATCCTGAACCCATAAACTTTTGTCTTCTTCTACAAAGTGCGGGGCAATCGCATAGCAGGTGCCGCACGAGTTCTGGCTCTTCTTCATTCCTGCAGCTTCTGCAGAAGTCGTTATGGGGGACCCCTAACCTCTCCGCGTGCCTTCCAATAGCAACATAGCCTGTTAGCAGACCCACAACTTCAGCTAGGTCCCCTCTGCTTAGCATGAGAAGGTCCTTCGACCGCTTTTTGTCCCATTTTGGCCATGTAAGCTTCGTGTTGTTGCAAGTGGTTAGGCTATCCCACATGTCCCCTGCTAGTTTAAGAGACAGATCCCTTAGCATGAGCTTGCAGGTAGCGAGCGGCACGCCTAATCCCTTCCAGGCCTGCGAAAGTGGAGCGGATGTGCCCTCCCTTGAAAGTTTGTCTGCTTTTTCATTGCCTGGTATGTTCCGGTGCCCCGTAACCCACACCAAGTGAAGCGCAGACTGCTCAGCCATCTCGTTTAGAGATCTGCGACAGTCCGCTACGGTTTTTGAATTGCATGTGACCGAGTCGAGCGCTTTGAGTGCGGCCTGACTGTCTGAGTAGATGAAGATATCGTTGTAGCTGACTTCTCTTGTACGTAGGTGTTCAACCGCTTCCTGTATAGCAGCGACTTCAGCTTGAAAGACGCTGCAATGGCTAGGTAAGCGAAAACATATTTCCAGCCCCAACCGGGCTGAGAAGACCCCCCTCCCCCTCCTACCTTGCCGTCTGGCTTGGAGCCATCGGTGTAGAGGTGGAGTGATCCATTGTCGCCAGCAGCCCCTCCCGACTAGAATTTTCTATCTGGAATGGAAATCCTATACCTCTTTCTCAAGTTCAACCTTGGTGCACAGTAGTCCGTGTCCGGTATATTTACGTTTTTTAAGATTGCGGTGTGGCCTTCCTGAATATTCCTCCAGCTTGGCAGTTCCCTCAGCCTCAAGGCGGCAAACCCCGCTGATTGTTTTCCAACAATTTCAATAAGCAAAATATCGAGCAGCACGTACATAGCCTCCGATGGAGTTGTGCGCAGAGCCCCACAGATGCAGAGCATCGCAGTTTTTTGCACCCTTTTGAGTACTTGAGTCGTAGGTTTCCTGTTGAGACTTGGCCACCGTAACAAGACCCCATATAATAGAATCGGCCTAACAACCACCGTGTATAGCCAGTGCATGATGCTAGGGGAGAGCCCCCAGCTACGCCCCTTTACAGCTGTAGAGGGCTACCGTCGCTTTTTTAACGCGCTCTTGTATATTTTGCGCCCAGTTAAGCTTTTTGCCCAGGACTACGCCAAGATATCTTGCGGACTCCACTAGCTTCAGAATCCTATTGTTTATGGCAGGGAGCTGAAGTGGGGGGATTTTCTGCTTCCTGGTAAAGAGTACCAGGTACGTTTTGTCTGGGTTAACACCCAGACCTTTCTCCTTGGTCCATCTTTCGATTAACATTAGTCTGCCCTGCATAATGTCACACAGAGTTTGCGGAAATTTTCCACTCACTACCACCGCAAGGTTGTCAGCATACGCGATGACCTTGGAGCCTCCCCCCCCCCACCTTCCAGAGTCTGCAATAACTCATTAATCGCCATGACCCATAAAAGGGGGGAGAGGACCCCACCCTTTTAATATTCTTATTTTTCGTCTGAAAATTATTGCAAATATCAATTTTGAGAGAATAAGCTTCAGTAGTTAATAAAATATCGCAGTTTTTGTATTTCTGAAGACTACCGTTACATGGGAGGTAGACGTGGTATTGTCCGATTTTGCGTCCTATGCTGAAAAGAAGTACACATACCAAGTTTCCTAAGATATCTCAATTTTTACTCGAGTTATCGTGTACACAGATGGACGGACGGGTGGAACGACAGTCAGTGCTTAATCGATTTAATTTTTCATTCTGATCATTTATGTATACATTTGTCTACATATATCTATCTCGATTCGTTTTGCCTGTTACAAACAACCGTTATGTGAACAAAGTTATAATACCGTTGTATACAAGAGCGCTCGGGTATATATATTCTTTTGAACCGCATATGTATGTGTATTTTTTATTTCTTTTTATCTTTCAGCCAGTCCAAGTGTTAACAATGTATCTATTATGTCAGACTACACGCTGATAAATGGCAATCAAGTCTTCTTGATCTCCGAGGTTTTATTTGTGTCTGAAGCAGTGGTTTCCAAACTACATCAGGTACTACTAATACTCGTCGTTTTGTACTTCATTACTCACATTTCTTCCATTTAATACAGATGCATAAGGATAAAGAAACGCCGCCGCTTCTAGCTTTTCCTTGGTTTGGAGCTCAATTTTTGTCCCACTCATTTTTGGCATTAGAACGCGATCCAAGATTTTCGCAAATAACAAGGTAAAATCTATTATATATAATTCTCGTGACACGTTGTTGCCCACGATGAACTCCCAAACTGACTATCCGATTTACTTGACATTGGTCATACTATGTGATACTTTTTTCCGGGAAGTGGACCAGGACCAATCTATTCAAAAAAGTGTTATTTATGGTGCGATTTACTTGAAATTTGGTACGTAGGTAGCTTTTTGCTTAAGTTAACATATAGGATACATTTTTTCCAGGAAGTGGACCAGGGACCGATCTATTCGAAAAAATCGTATATATGGTTCGATTTGCTTGAAATTTGTAACGTGGGTAGCTTTTTGCCAGGGTTAACATGCAGAATACTTTTTTCCGGGAAGTGGACCAGGGACCGATCTATTCGAAACTATTTTATTTATGGTTCGATGAGCTTGAAATTGAGTACGTAGGTAGCTTTTTGCGTAGACTAACACATAGAATACTTTTTTTCAGGAAGTGGACCAGGGACCGATCTATTCGAAAAAATCGTATTTACGGTTCGATTTGCTTGAAATTGTGTACGTAGGTAGCTTTTTGCCAAGGTTAACATGCAGAATACTTTTTTCCCGGGAAGTGGACCAGTGACCGATCTATTCGAAAAAAATCGTATTTATGATTCGATTTGCTACAAATTTGGTACGTAGGTAGCTTATTGCCTATATTAACATATAGAATACCTTTTTCCGGTAATTTCAGTTTTTTTATTTTGCACTACTTGGGGTGTGTATCAAAGCATGTATAATTCTTCGCGTCGCAGCTTGGCTTTTATTTCATCATTATCATAATTGCGTGTACATTATTATTCATCTGTAGGGCATATATAGTGGAATAAAGTTTTAAAAACTTATGATGGTCCTATCGCAAGTTGTAACATATAACGAGCTGATCGCGAGGTTTGGTTGAAATTTCTTTTTCTTATTAGGTGATAATCGTCGTCTGCTTTAAAGTAATTATATACAGTATCGGTAATATCTATAGCACGCCATTCAAAGTGATATTAAAATACAGTTCTATCTCTAACAAAACCCATATAAACCCAAGTATAACAATTTAAAGAAAACTACAAAAAAGTGCAACAAATTTTCACCTAAATTTCAAACTTTTTTCTCGGAAGTGTTAGAAATTTTTTGAATACAGAGTTTTATAGCCCAATCAATTTTAGTCTGATAATGGGCCGTATGAA